GGTGGGGGCCCGGTGCCCTGCCCCCCCCGCCAAGGGCCGGCTCTTCTCAGGCCTTGGGCCACGCCTCGGTCACCCTCCTGCTGACTGCCCTGTGCTGGCTGCCCTGCATCTGTGCCTTCGTGCCGTCCCTGGCGGCGGTTATCCAAGGAGGAGGCCAAGGCGCCCAGGGCAGGGACTTACCCAAGCTCACCCCACGAGCAGGTGGGGAGCTGGGGCTCCAGAACCACCTGCTCCCAAGCCTGCACCTCCCGCCACCACCTGCCTCCCAGAGGGGCTCTCCTCCCTGGGTCCCAAGAAGACACCAAGCTGGATGCCCACGGGAGCAGGCTGGTGCAGGCCCCCTGGCTGGCAACAGAAGGGCAGGTGGTCTCTGGAGACGCTCAGGCCTCAGTGCCCCCACCCCCGAGGACAGTGGGAAAGTCCCTTTGGTGGCGCCTTTGGGGCTAAGGGCTCCCAGTGGGGCACAGGGATGCTCATGGTTAATATCACCTGGGGTTGTTTCTGGGCGCCTCCCGGGGAGCCAGGTGCAGCTGAGGCTTCAGGCGGCCCCACAGAGGGGCGCAGGCCTGGCCAAGGTTGCTCATGGCCACGTGCCCTGTCTCAGCGCTGGCAGAAGCAGAGGCCACATCCGGGGGATCGCCGGGCCGTCCCTGCCACCTCCGCCCCCAGAGCACGCAGGCGACCGCAGCAGCCCCCTCTAAGCTCCGGCCAACCAGGGCACGCCTCCTAGGTCTTCTCTGCCCCGAGGTCAGAGGCCTCGCCTGCTCCAGCCCCACCCCAGGCCCTGGAGCTCATGTGGACATCGCCTTCACCCAGATGGAACAGAGTCTCTGGAAGAAGGTTGGTGAGTGTCGTCCCAGGGCTCACAACGAATGACCACACCCAGGGGCTTCAAACATCAGAAGGCGGCTGTTTCTGGTCCTGGAGGCCGCAAGTCCTGGATCCAGGCATTGGAGGCCGCAGGGGAGGCCCGCCCACCAGTCCTTCCCTTCCGTGGGGCCTCTGGGCCTTCCTGGGCATTTCTCGGCTGTCTTCACGTGACCTCCTCCCCCATGTGTCTCTGCGTCCACACTGCCCTCTCTCAGGAGACCAGTCACTGGCTCAGGGCCCACCTGAAACCAGGGTGATCTCGTCTTCCCTTGATGACGCCTGCCAAGACCCCATTCCAAATAATGTCGCATGCCTTCCGGGAGGCATCGCATGTATGGTTCCCCGCCCATGTGACCTGAAGCACGCATGGTGTGCCCCTTGCCCCCCCCCGGGAGGGGGGTTTAGGTGGGAGTCCTGAGTCCCCCGAGCTTTGGCGATGGACTTGCCCTGTGCATGGAGTTCATAGGTCCTGGTGGTGCCTGAACACGGGTCCGGATGATCGTGCCAGTCTCCAACCCCTGGGCTCAGGCAAGCCTCTCACCTCAGCCTCCCAAAGTGCTGAGATGACAGGCGTGAGCTACTGTGCCCAGACAGTAATATTACTACTCTCATTTCATTGAACAATAAACCGAGGCACAGGGGCATTAAGCAACCTGTCCAAGTCAACCAGCTAGTGACCAGAGGACTGCCGGTGCCTCGGGGCAGGAGGGCATGTGGGTGGAGCCTGGGGGAGAGTGGGTGCCTGAAGCCCCTCCTAGGACAGCCGTGGCAGCAGCCAGAAGCAGACAGGGCCACCAAGGGTCCACGGTCCTCAGGGACGACGGGCCAGGTCACAGTTAGATGAAGAGAGGTGCCCACTGAGGGCTGGCTGAGTGACAGGGAGTGGGAGGAGGTCACCAGCCCCGCCGCAGGGGTGGCCGTGGAGCTGAGGCCCTGGCATGCATCTGGGTTTTCTTCCCTGTTTTTCCTCGCTGTGTGAGGCTCCCTGGGTTTCACAGGCACGAAGGCCACAAAGCGGAAGTGGGGGCCTCCTGGCCTCCCGGCAGGTGTGGCAGGTTGTGGACGGGTCTGTCGGCAGCACCTGCCCACGTCATTCTGGACCACAGGGCCTGCCCCAGCAGTGGCAGCCGCCTCTTTCAGTGGTAGCACTTCTGGCATAGCCCTCGGGGTCCTGGCCACTGGTACTCTGATGGCAGCAGTGACGCCTCTGGGACTTGCCTATGGCAAGAAGAGGCTTGGCTGTGACCGGCAGAAACTCCACTGGGGTCTACGCTTCCCACACATCGAGAACTCCGGGGACAAGCAGCCTGGGCGGGCACAGTAGCTCCTTGAAGTCAGAAGTGGCCCAGGCGCTCCCCGTCTCCTTGATCCTTGGTTTCAGTCAGCCCTGCCACCGGACGCCGCAGAGGTGGCCTAAGTCCCAGCACCCAGTGCCCCTCCTCGTAGCTGTCATCCCTTCGTCCAGGAAGGCATGGAGTCTGTGGCCGGCGCCTGTTCTTTGCTCACTGACCGTAACCGAGTCACGTAGCTTCCTGCTGCTGCAAGGCGTGCTGGGATGGAAGCGTCACCTGCTGGCCTCTACTGTGGAGAGGTGGAGGCTCAGACCGAGGCCACTATGGCTGGAGGTGTTCCCACAAGCATGGTCTCAGGACTCCTCCGGTGTGCTGGGTGATGCCGTGAGTGCCCCAGTACCCTCCCCTTTTTTTTTGAGTTGGAGTCTCACTCTGTCGCCCAGGCTGGAGGGCAGTGGTACGCTCATGGCCACCACAGCCTCAACCTGCTGGGCTCAGGCGATTCTTCCGCCTCAGCCTGCCAAGTAGCCAGAACTACAGGTGTATGCCACCATGCCTGGCTAATTTTTCTTGATTTATTGTAGAGACGAGGTCTCGCCAAGTTGCCTGGGCTGGTCTTGAATCCCCGGCCTCAGGCAATCCTCTCCCAAAGTGTTGGGATTACAGGTATGAGCCACTGTGCGCCCAGCCTTCCAAAGCCCGTTCACCCATCCCTTTTCCCCCTGAACCTTTCTGTTGATGACAGCCGAGAGCCCTGCCTGGTCCTTGAGACCCCTGAGCCTGGAGAGAGGCTGTGTGGAAGGAAGGGAAGGGGGAGGGGGTCGAGGGGCTCCTCTGAGCATGGGGAGCGGCCGCTTCCCCTGGCTGAGGACAGAGCAGTGGGCTGTGCTGACCCTGGAGTGGGCGAGGTCAGCCAGCCTGGTGCTGTCATCTGCCTGATGTCCAGCGGCTGTCGCCCCACCAAGGGACGTCCCCATAGGTGAGGCTCCCTCTGTTCTTGTTCCATGCTCCACCGAGCATCTTCTCGGGAGGAGAAGGGGAGCCCAGCCCCTTGACAAGACGGTCACTGAGTACTTGGCGCAGGCCAGGCCCCAGGACAGAGTGGCTGGTGGGACAGATGCCTGGGGCACATGAGGCGACCCAGGAGCTCAAGAGGAGAGTCCGGGATGGTGGGACAGCCAGGGCTGAGGAGACAGCTAGGAGCGAGGGGATGGTCCAGGGTGTGAGGGGACTGCCAGGATCCAGGGGGATAACACGTGGAGTGAGGGAACAGCCAGGTGCGTGGGGAGACAGTCCAGGGTGTAGGAGACACCTGTGGAGGGAAGAAGTGACAGTCCAGGGCACGTGGGGGACAGCTGGGAGGGCGAAGAGACAGTCCAGGGCACAGGAGACAGCCATGGAGGTGAGAGGTGGCAGTCCAGGACAAGTGGGGGACAGCCAGGAGCGCGGGGGACAGTCCAGGGTGTAGGGGACAGCCAGGAGTGCGAGAAGACAGTCCAGGGCGCAGGGGACAGCCCGTGGCAGGGACGGGTGACAGTCCA